CATGTTTAGCTCCAAACACTCCAATCACTCCCACTGATGCTTCGTACGAGCTCACACAGCAGACAATAATAATTTCATCATCTCATCATTAAAACTCTCAGAGTCTGAAATAAACATCAGTTCTGTTGGAAAAAGGAAATTTAGGCTAAAACCTTTTAAAAAAAGTTTGAAAGAGCAGATTTCCTTCCTCACAGTCGTTCTGTGTCGCTCTCACTCTTTCTTCAGAGGATGATCACAAGTCTAAGTCTGAGCAGACAACAACCGCCGCCGCCGCTGCTGCTGCTGTTCCACCAGGGGGCGCTGCAGCCGAGCCCTCAACCTCACAGCCTCCAAAGGCAGAAGAGACGACTGAGAAGACGAGCGACCAACCGGACGAGTCAGAGGTACAAACACAAAAACTGCAGTTAACGTGTTGTGTGTCTGGTTGTGTTGTGTGTGTTGCCAGTTTGTCTTTTGACTATTTGTTTTCAGTTGCGGTGCTTTGAGCTCTGCGGGCCACCGGACTGTTAAAGATAAAATACACAAGCTTTATTTAATTCCACGCACAACATCCAGTAATAAAAGAAAAGTAACGCAGAAAGGACCAGATCAGATGTTTCTAAACTCTATGTGAGGAGACATATTGTTTATCAAGACGTCTTGTTCAAAGTCCACCATCATGATCCACCATCATATCAGATCTCTAAATGTGTGCTGGGATAAATCTTTACATGCTTCAATAGATTAATGGTTGAAAAGTGTTGTTCTCCGAGAGCTGGAGGTCACGACTCAGATGAGCTTCACGTTTTCCCATCGTTTACCTCCAATAAACAACCTGAGAAAAATGGCCGCCAAACTTCGTCAAACTCACTCGTGTGTGTGTACCTCGACCGTCAGGCGGCGGCAGCCTCAGCGGGGGGCTCGGACGGCTCGGACAGCAGCGCTGAGGACGACAGCGGCGACGAGGACAGCGGCGACTCGGCTGAGAGTGTTGACGACGGGGACAGAGACGAGGAGGAGGAAGCGGAGGAGGAGAACGAGCCTCTGTCTCTAGAGTGGCCTGAAACCAGAAGTAAGCAGGCCACCTACCTGTTCCTGCTGCCCATCGTGTTCCCGCTGTGGCTCACGCTGCCCGACGTCCGCAACCTGGTGAGCATGACAAAACATTTAACGTTAATCCTTCACTGTATCAGGCAAAACAGCAGCTATACTGCAACCAGCCACCAGGGGGCGATCGAGAGCTTTGCGTCTGTATGAACTCTGTTCTAACGTGATCTTTCTGTTTGCAGGCGTCCAGGAGATATTTCGTTGTGACGTTCATCGGCTGTATCCTGTGGATCGGCGTCTTCTCCTACTTGATGGTGTGGTGGGCTCATCAGGTCGGTCGCCACGGTTACAAACATTTGAATTCACTCGTGTTTGATGTGACTTCACCTCGACAGCTCGTGACTTTTCGTCTCTATATAAATGTCGTGACGTAGAGATTGTCCCAACGTTGACTCGTCCTGCATCTACACATGTCGTAACGTCCATCTTCTTCTGTCCTCGTGGACAGGTGGGTGAGACCGTGGGCATCTCAGAGGAAATAATGGGCCTGACCATCCTGGCGGCCGGGACGTCCATCCCCGACCTGATCACCAGCGTCATCGTGGCCCGTAAGGGTCTGGGGGACATGGCCGTGTCCAGCTCCGTGGGCAGCAACATCTTCGACATCACTATCGGGTGAGTGAAGAGAACAGGACCAATATTAGATCCGGATACTTTTAAGTGTAGTAATTAACTGTGTGTTTATTTCACTCGTGAAGTAAAAGAATTAATCAGAAATATTCCAATAATTTAAAGCTAAATTAGCTTATTTTTACAGATTTAGCAGGAAAATTCAGGATCAATAAAAATGATTTAAAAAAAATGACTAGTTCTATCAGATAAATGTACACAGTGAAGATACTTTAAGAGAAGGAAGTACCAAATATATTGGGAGTAAAGTACAAGTATCTGAGTACTGGACTCTCCTGAACCGTCGTCCTCTCTGGTTTCAGTCTGCCCGTCCCGTGGCTCATGTTCACTCTGTCCCACAACGGCCAGCCTGTAGCCGTCAGCTCCAACGGCTTGTTCTGCGCCATCGTGCTGCTCTTCCTCATGCTCCTCTTCGTCATCATCTCCATCGCCGCCTGTCGCTGGAAGATGAGCCGAACGTTGGGCCTCACCATGTTCGCGCTTTACTTTGTGTTCCTGGTCCTCAGCGTCCTGCTGGAGGACAGAGTCCTCATCTGCCCGGTTTCAATCTGAGCCAGACGGGGAAACCTCAGCCAGACGGAATCAGTACTGTACGTAGGAGGAGTTAGATTTAACCAGACCTGATCTCAAAGGTCCGAGCACAGTAGGGACACAGTAGAGACACAGTAGAGACACATCACTACACAAGCAACGTTAAAAGGAAAATCCTCCTCCAGCAAAGATTCACATCCAGTGACCTCACATCATCTGCGACTGCTCGGTCATTCGCTGATTTGAGGCGGATTTGTCCTTAAATGTTGTGAGCATGATGCTTAAAAAACCTTCCCGAGGAGACTTTAATAGATTTATTATTAAATACATGACGTACACATTTCACCGTGCAGCGATTCGAACATCAGTGGATGCAACTTTCTGTTTTGTATGTTCATCATTTTCTGAACTGTATCCCAGAGACTCTGTTGTGTGTTCAACCATCAAACTTGTGTGTGTTCATGTTTGTTTTGTGTGAAACAATAAGATCCCGTGATCGTCTGTGTGTCGGGTAAACGTGTGTTGACATCTTGTTAAGTGTTGAATTGATGCAGATGTGAGTTACTGATGTGAAAACTGTCGATATTTAAAACTAAAATTCCACGCTGCAATAAATTATTTTTCTTACAGTGAACTGGAGACGTGTTGAGAAACAAAACAAAAAGCTGGATGGATGAGAAAGATTTTAAAATATTTTTATATCAATCATTTAACATTTGCGTTGCCCAGGACAAGAGACTTGAGATCCGTATCTGTTCATTGTGCCAAATATTCATTTGTCATTGGGTGTGAACGCACCGCACTCGAAATACGAGTTGTAAGAACAACTCACGAGCAAATCTAACGGTTTCTTGCACGAGGCTGTTTACATCAAGAAAAACCGCTCTATAGCGCCACCTGTGGCCAAAAACTCAGGTTGGTCACAGTTCTATCTTTGGCAAAACAAAAAGAGTAGAAGGAAGAAGCCGTTGTTGAGCTCGTACATGATTTATTTACAGTCCAACAGTCCCGCAGATCTGGTCTCTGTTCAGAACTGTCCCCACGTCTCACAGGACGTCAGCACGTGTCAACTAGAAAATGTGATTTCTACAAAGGGCCAGTTAAAATGTACACGGCCCAGATTCTGCAAAATCATTCATTTGTACAACTTTTTTTTTTCTTTTCAAACACAAACAACAAAGATCCACAGACGGATGACGGCGTCTCCGAGCCGTCGATGAGTTTCCTCCTGGACTCCAGCGTTTAAGGCTGAAAGTTCACTTTCAAGGGTCAAAGTGCAGATTTCAGACTTATCCTGTTTTGGTTTCCTCTGCCACAGATAAAACACAAACACACACAC